CATGTGGTGCGGTACGGTTTGAACCGCGATTTAGTAACTAGAAACTGCAAACCGCACCGTATACTGCGGTTTACAAAAACTACAAACAATAAACCGCACCGCGAAAATCAAAAACCGCGTTATGCGGTGCGGGCGGTTTGTGCGGTTTTATGCACACCCTTAATATATATATATATATATATATATATGATATGCATTGTCTGCATATAAATAATATATCAATATTATAGTTCAATACATATCGATTGAAGGCAAACGGGCAACAAGCTGTGCTGCTAGCCCTTTCTGGATGGCAAAACCAATTCTTTTGAAAACAACATTTGTGGATCTAGGAGAAATGCCATTAGAATGCATGACCCGTTGGACTCTATACACCACATGGCATATCTAAGGATAAATTTGTTGGGGTTCAAGTTAATATCACTAGCGTTTAGTCTTCTCTATGTCACTTAATATAAAAATGAACTAATATTTACTTTGATGCAGGAACAATATGAGATTCTGCGTTTATCAGGCTCATACACCATTTCTGGAGATGGTAGAATTCAAACAGAAGGTTTTAATGTCTTGTTGGCTTGCTCTGATGGTCATGTAATTGGTGGCACCCTTGCTGGTTCTCTGTTGGCTGCTACACCAGTCCAAGTAAGTAAGAATTCATTTGAATTTTGCACTAATTAAATCCTACGTGACCCTTCAACTGATCTTATTATCGACACTTTATTTCTACATATAATATGTAAGAAGTGTTTATTTATTTTTAATTCCCACTTTAAAATATTTCAATATGAGCTTTCCGTATTCTATACAACTGGATCAGTTTTTTTCTACAACGCATTGAACTATACAAAGTTCAATAAAACATCACAAAAACTAATTTAGAGTATTTATTTAAGTGATAGAAAACTTTTGTCTTTTCCATTGAAGAATTCAATGGCCATTCAACTCCAAACTCATTGAACGCCAACATGACCCTCACAATGGTAGAGTTTCATTTATTGAATGAAAACCAGAATTTTCTGTTCATTCAACTTTTCCATTGAATTCACCAATAGAGATGCTCTTAGAAGTTTAACCATTTAAAAACAATTCCGTTTTACTCTACATGAAGCAAGATAAAACCTATACTTAGTAAATAGCTTTTTTCTGTATTGAATATGGCAGATGGTTGTAGGAAGCTTTATCCCAAATGATTACAAGAACAAGCCTAAGAAGAAGCATAAATATGGACTTAGAAAGCCACATTCATATCCATATTTAAATACTGAAGCGTTTACGGAGTAGTATGCATGAAAATTATGGTCGGAGTTTTCATATTGGTTGCCAAATTTCAGTTTAATTTTCTAATTTGAGTCTTGGAAGACAGACTTAAATTGCAAACTTGGATATTCTAGGTGTTATTTGAAAACTGGTTTTGTTGGTATTGATTGGTTCATAGATTCTCTCTTTGCAAACTCCCAACATCATGCAAATGGAAATAATAGTATGGACGAACTTAAACGCTCAATAAATTTGGTTCTGAGTGGAACTATATATTTTGATTTAATTTTTTTGTGTTCCATTTTATATGCATAATAATTGAGGCAAGTTTTATGTTTTATCGGTTTTGTTGGTTAATATCCAAGATTTGTTAAGTTTTTTGTTTTTTTTTAAGTTCTTTTGTTCTCGTTACATGTAATACTAGGTATCAAGTTACCAATAAAACAAATTTACAAAAAACCTTTTAGTTTACAAGTCTTTTATGCTTAAC